GAGGTCAACGCTGGGACACACGAAGAGTTCCGCGTCGCCGTCCGCGCGGCCAACAAGACGCAGATCATCCTCGTCCGGCATCACGACCGACGTGTGCACCGCCTTCCTCGCCCTCTCCCTGCGCGCCGAGGGTTACTCCGTGTGGGCCAACCTCGAGGCTTCGGGCACTACGACCGACCTCATCCGCGACGCCTCCAACGACCAGATGCGCGCTGCCGGCGTCACCGTCACGAGTACCTTTGCCATCGCCATGGACCTCATGCGCGACTGGCGCAACACCCCCGGCGCCCCCGAGCTGCTGCCCTGGCTCGACACCTACTACCCCGTCTACGGCAACCAGGCGCGCGGCCACCGCGCCGCCGTCGCCAACGGCACCCTGCTGCCCGGTCAGGACACTCTTCCTCTCTAGATCGGAGGGCCGGGCATGGTTCGGAACTTCTGCCTGCGGCGCGTCAGTCAGTCATTTCAACGGCGTCGTTGCTGCGTTTGATGATCTTCCACTGTCAGGAAGGCCTGCGTGATGAAACAGTAGGAACAGGAGCGCATGCAAGGGGAAAGAGCATGACTCTGATGAGGAATAATCCCAGAGCGCACCGCATGACTCTGACGAAGGCCAGAGTCAGAGTGCACGGTAGACCTTCGGTCTCCGGAGCTCATGTAAGGACGTAGGGAATAGATGGCTTAGCATAGCACCTAATTTGTCACGAATCGAAGAACGCAAAAAAGCACAATCGTTCCAGGCTAGATCATGTCATGCGCGTGCGCTATGTTCGTGCAATGACCTTCAATGCAACGGCGATAGCCATGACTCTTGTGCTTGTGAACGGACTTTCGTCTCACACATGTCAAGCACCTCGGGATGAACACCGACGCATGGACAGAGGTGTAGATGTAGAAGACCATGCGTGATTGCGAAGTTGGATCTCCGCTGCGTGGTCGACGCCCCCCTCGAAGACCGTCTGCAGCCCTGTTGGCTGCCCGACAGCGCTAGAAGGGCCGTGGAATCCTTCTACTATCGAGCTAGAAGGGTTTTCCTCGGGAAACGAGTCAGTACCCGGACGATGGCTCCGACCCTCTCCAGGCTCCATTGCCACTACACCAACCGGGCGGCCCCTTCTTCTTGGGGTTGTAGGCTACCAGTCGCAGCCTTCTAGGCTGGCGCTGGCGCGGAAAGTCAGAATCTCGACAGGCGTTTCCTCATGCGGACCGCACAGCTAGGAGACGTTTTCTATGCCGACGGTTGTCCGCCTCCGTGTGCGGGGCAATATCCCGGTCCGACTGGTGGCCAAATGCCCGAGGAGGGCCGACACATGCCAACCCAGTCTGTCTGATTACAGCAACCTGTCGGACCGAGAGAGTGCGGTGAGTGCTTGACTCGGGAAAGGTCGTTGAGGCCAGCTGAAGTCAAGATGCATCATGGTTGTCACACAACAGGCGTCGTCGAATGAAGCGGCAGGCATTAGACCAACGTGTCGGACAGAATCGGTCGCCTTGATCTTGTAACTTCGGTAAGACCCCGGAGCAGGGGAGGGCGGTGGAGAATCGGAATGTGAGTTGTAAATGTCATTGCGGCCGGTTCTCGGTTGTTGAGGAGTAGTGATGACGTAGCTGCGATGTGGATGTAACTAGCAAAACAAGATCGAGGTACCTGGAAGCTGGCTTCGATGCCGCGCGCCGGCTATGTATCGGGTGCACCCGGCTGCCATGGCATCCCGCGTGTTGGGCATGACTTTTGAGTGCCGTTATCGGTATGTTATGCTGTGAAGGCTATTTGTGTCGTGCCGCGAATGGCGGTGCAATGCAATCATGACTCTCTCTGTTTGGAGCAAACAAGGTCGACCGCCCAGTCGTGGGGTTGGAAGATGCATCAAGATCAAATGACCGATACGGCCATATTTTGCGCGTCTATCACAATTCAAGGCGTAGTAGCGACACACGGGACCAACAAGCTGCCTGGTTTCGAGGCAGCGGAAAAGCAAACGTGATGTCCGATGTGCTGGGCGCACTGATACGTGACCAACCACGCATTAGAGCGTCGCAGGTGCTCAGCACGGGGGTACCACAAAGGAAACCAACTCGACGGACGACAGCGCTAAGACCTCCGTTATGTATCGCCAGCAAGTGACCTGGGCCTTTCCACGCCAGGCAACATGTGATAACGATTGCGATTGGGGTCGTCCAGCAACCACTCAGTTTCATCTGGACTTCTGACTTCGAGGGGGGGTCACGAGTTGGACGAGGACCGCGTGGGATGTCTCTTGTTCATCCCACGCCTTTCTCCCCCCACCTATCGCAGGTAAGGCGGGTTACGCGGGGGGCGTGGATCTCCCATGCTGAGTGCGGCACGCAGCAACGTTGTGTGAGCGAGTGGAGGGGACCTTGCCGAGTTACCATGTACTGCGATGAGCCAACAGCTGCTCGGGACAAGATGTTGCGGTGGTTGCACGTGAAGATAAAGTAGGTTAAATTGGTCACCACGCTTGTCGGCAGCGCTGGCCCCTGGCCCGACGCTTTCCAAGAGGCGCGTTGCGAGGGCTAAATGACCTGCCCCGAAAGGCAACTGACAGCCGTCGTGCCGCCCGCGTTGGATAGCATCGCTCTTGCGGGATTGCCATCTCCTGCCTGCCCTGACAGAAAGGCCTGGTCGGTAATTCGGAA